CTTGTATCAAGTCTTCAATGATTATCCTGGGAAATACAGAAGACGCCCCTATGCCTCAGAGATTAAAGGAAATCCCAGAAAGAACTAGACTAGCCGAGAAAATTCAAAGCTGGGCTTTAAAGGGGTGTAGGAGAGGACAGGTGCTAAAGCACCCAGTGGAACAAAGGGACTGAGCATGAACGGAATTCATAGTCAGGTCAAAAAGTAGATGACTGGAGTAAAAGCATCTTCAGGTTCAGTCACTCAGTAGGCATGTTGGGACACTCTTGGGAGGAGACTTTTGTTTCCAGAGCAGTTTCGAACTTCCTCTACTTTCATGGTGCAGCTGGCCTGCCTTGCTCCAATCCTTCTCTAATGTTCACTCTACAGCAAATATAGACCTCAGGTGGGACTTCCCGGAGGGAACCCAGAACATTACTATGTGCTTTAAAGTAGCACCAAAGTTTTTTAAATAAGTTTTTAACTGTGAAAATATCGTACAGAGGGGTTACAATTACATGAGCAAAGTAATGAGTACATTTCTTATCAAACATTGTTGCCTCCTCCTCTGATTTTCCCCTACCATCCCTTCCCTCCCATCTCCATGACTACACTCCACCCCCACCTAAATTGTAAAGTTCGTTTTTCAACATAACGTCTTGTACATCTTGTAATGGGTCAACCTGTATCCCTATTTAAACAATTTATTTTTTCCTTCCCCTCCCCAAATTATACCAACATCAAATACAGTGAACACAGGTTATAGAGTGGGGGAGGGACATACAAAGCAACAAAAAAATCATGTGGTACCTTAATTTAGAAATAATAGAAACAATAGCAAGAAAGCCCATGGATTGGGAGAAGATCTTCAATAGCCATACAACAGACAAGGGTCTCATATCTAAAATATACCTGGAACTCAAAAAATTAAATCCCCCAACAACAAATCCTCAATGAAAAAACTACCCAATAAATAAGTGGGCTAAAGACTTAAAGAGAAACTTCTCTGAAGAGGAAATAAGAATGGTCAATAGACACATGAAGAAATGCTCAACCTCTCTAGCCATAAAAGAAATGCAAATCAGAACAACATTGAGATTCCACCTCACCCCAGTTAGAGTGGCTATGATCAAGAACTCTAATAACAACAGATGCTGGAGGGGGTGTGGCCAGAAGGGAACCCTACTGCATTGTTGGTGGGAGTGTAAACTTGTTCAACCACCTTGGAAAATAGTATGGAGGTTCCTCAAAAGACTTCACATAGAGCTCCCCTATGACCCAGCAATCCCACTTTTGGGCATTTAACTAATGATCACAAACAAGACCACACTAAAGCTACCAGGACAACTATGTTTATTGCAGTATTATTTACCATAGCTAAGATATGGAACCAACCTAGAAGCCCCTCAGTAGATGAATGAATCAAGAAAATGTGGTATATATACACAATGAAATTCTATGCCTCCATCAGAAAGAATGACATTGCCCCATTTGTTAGGAAATGGGAAGGCTTGGAACAAATTATATGAAGTGAAGTAAGCCAGGCCCAAAGAAACATAGGTCCCATGGTTTCCCTTATTTGTAATAACTAGTATATGTCTGAGACAAGCATAAAAGGTCAGATAAGATGATGTTAAGTGAAATGAACCCCAAGATAAAGGACACAAGTGTTTTTTCTTTCTTGCTATTGTTTCTAACATATTTATAAATACCAAAGTTAAGATGAGGATTCTTCTATTCATGACTCACAAATGATTAAGTCTGCTTTCCCCATACAGCCCTCCAAAAAGTACCCACCATTAACCACACTATTCAACCAAAGAAAAACAAGTACCATCCTTAGAAAATATGGGGGCCCTACCACCTTCCGTGCTGTACAGCAGTGAAGACAACCAGTATTTTGCATATCAGCAAGACACTTCTGATGAAGTAAGTCCACACGAGCTGGCTTTCTCCCCTAAGAAATCCCCATGGAGTTGATCATTGAAACAGCCATGTATGCTCCTTCCTTTTTCTTGGGGAGAGAACTGGGACAGTGGGGGGGGCGGAGGAGACTGAATTTCTACTCTGAATTCTGGGTTCTGAAATTGAACACATTCCTGGGCTGTGTGCACCTTATTTGGTGATGTTATTGACCATGATGGGTGGCCATGGGCTGAGATGTCAGGTTGTGTCTTATGTGCCAGGCACACCTATATTATTTCCCTATAGTCCATCATTTAATCACCCCCAATAACTCTCTATAATAGGTACAACAATTATCCTTCTTAACAAATGAAGATATAAGCCCCAACGTGCTCCTACAACTTGTATAAGACATTTAGCTTGTGAATGGAGGAGCTGTGATAGGGACTTAAGCTGGGTGGCACTAGAGTTCCAAGTATTGTTGAATTTTATCCAGTGCCTCTAGAAGTAGTTGGCATCAGACCCATAATCCTGGGTGACACCTGCAGCCACCTATGTTACATTTCTTATCTCAGCATAACGCAAGAGGCTGATGTTTATGCTTGCTTCCATAGAGGCCTCAGACTGAGGCTCCGTGTGGTATGAGTGTCCCCCCACCCTCACCACAAACAAAGAGTTTTGTGGGTTTCTACTGAATAGTTCTGGAATCCTCATTGTGTCAACCACACTCCCTTCTTTTTTATTATTATTGTGAAAATACCATACAGAGGGGTTACAATTACATGGGCAAGATAATGAGTACATTTCTTATCAAGCATTGTAGCCTCCTCCTTTGTTTCCCCTTCCCATCCCTTCCCTTCCTCCCCCCCCGCCCCCCCTACCCAATCCTCCTCCCCCCCACCAAAGTTGTAAAGTTCGTTTTCGACATAACGACTTCACACTCCCTTATTTCCTCCTACTGTATGTACTCAAATGCTTTGTGCCTATTCTGCCAGATTTTTTTTTCAGGTGAAAGCCAGAACTAGTAAACAGGGCATTCTCTGAATGTGAGGACACAACAGTGCTCAGAGAAGTTTCCTCTTATCTGTGCTATTGCTTCTGCAGCAGTGTTTTAGGATGGCCATTGTTTAGCAATGGGTTTCTGTGGTGTCCTTCCTACACCACTCTGCCACCATCACCTCTCCCTCAATTTCAGAATAACTGAAGTATTTCTTTAAGTCTTTCGTATTGGTGTCATTAGGACATCTTTATTGCTTGCTAATTTCTGGAGTGTGTGCTTTATTTGGAGTGCATCAACCAAAGGACAGGAACAAAGAGAGAAAGAGAGGGAGAGAGAGAAATAGTTTATCATGAGTCCTCATAGTAAGGTTCATTTTGAGTGCAATCTGTTTTCTGCATTAGAAGGCATTCATCTCCACAATATTCACTACACACTTTGTCCCTAGACAAAGGCAGAGAAGTTTTGTTAAAAAGAATTTACATCCAGGGACATTAACATCCCTCTGCCATGTGGGTGGTAGGTCATGGGAGTCCATCTGAGACAAAGATTCCACAGGCCAAAGAAGGCAACAAGCCAGGTGATCAGGAATAGGCAGAGGCAACAGGAGAGGAGTAGATGATCTGAGTGGTGGATAGGAGTTACTTAGATCATTGTATGAGTAGAAAGATTGTGCAAGTTTAAGAACACCTTCAATTTGTCTAGCGCATGATACATCTCGGCTGGCCTTATTTTCTTGCTTGCACTCTCTTCTCAAGGACATTCTGCACTCCACCAGCATACCACCAGTGCCTCTTGGGGACTTATCTCTTCCTCAGCTGTCTCAAGTCTGCTTTTGGTGTCAGTTTGGCAGCTGCATGCTCTTTCTTGGCTTTGTTAGTTCATGTCCTTGTTATGTTCCTACCCTAGCTGTGAGAATACACCCGTGGGTGTCATATACTTGTCTCCTAAATTCCAGGCCCAGCTATGTATTAGGTCTCAAGCCTTTAATGACAAGATTCTTAAATCTCCATCTGCTTCTTTGAGATATTTTGACAAATGGAGGAGACAAAGTGCTTAACCCAAGACTGAGCACATTTTTAGAGGCCTTAATAGCTTTTACTTCTGTCTGATCCTAGGATACATTAAAGGTTTCTATTGAGAACTGACCTGTATTTCCTTTTCCCCCACCACCTCTTTCTCTCTTCCTTTCTCTCTGTTCCTCAGTCTCCCTCTCTGTATCTGCTCTTCTCTCTGCTTACCTCTTGCCATATCTTTGTCTCTTTGTGTGTCTTTGTCTTTCTCTGCCTATTTGTCCCTGACTCTTGCCTCTGTTCCTGTCTCTCTCTGTTTCTCTATCTCTCTGTGTTTCTGTCTATCTTTATCTCTCTCTGTTTATCTGTCTGTCTCTCATCTCTCTGTCTCTTTTTCTCTCTGTCTCTTTCTCTCTCTGTCTCTTTCTTTATCTGTCTCTCTGTCTCTGTCTCTCTCTGTCTGTCCTCTCTGTCTCTGTCTCTCTCTTTCCTTCTCCCTCCCTCCCTCCCTTCTAGTATTGAGTATTAAATTCCTGTTTAGATCTGGTATACCACTCTTAATATTCAAAATGTTGGTTGGCATGTGCTTTGGTGTAATAAAAGACATAGGGTTTCTGAACGAGGTCCCCGCAATGTCATTTTACCATTCAGCTTATCTTTTCACGTTGCACCAGTAGCTCACACTTGTAATGATTGCTACTTAAGAGGCTGAGGATCACAGTTCAAATAAAGTCTGTGAGACTTTTATCACCAAAAAACACTCTTTACCAGAATCAACTCCAAATGGATCAAAGATCTCAAAGTAAAAGCAGACACCCTGAAAACATTAGAGAAAGTAATAGGAGAAACATGAGGGCTTCTTGGCATGGGCCAAAATTTTCTTAATAAATCTTTCTTAGTATGTCTGGTTCTCTACCACTTGAGTACCACTTCAAGCTGGCTTTTTGCTGGCTAAATGGAGATGGACTCACAAGTGTTTTAACTTGAGGTGGCTTCTGAAAAATCCCCTCAATATCTCAACCTCCTGATTAGGTAGAATTATAGATGTGAACCACCAACACCTGGCTTGGAGTCTGTTTCTAATATGTGCTATTTTATTTGAGAGAATGGAAGAAGATAACCCATGGGAGATCTCAACATCAACTGAAAAGAAAGCAAAGTTCCTGAAACACAGACGATCAAGATATGCCAAAGCCTCAGGACCTTTCTGGCGTGGCAGAAAGGTAAAATCCTCTTCTTCTCATGATGTTGAGCAGAAGAGATTCAAGTGTGAGTGCTATTACTGCAAGAAGTACCCTGGGACATCTTCTGGAATCTCAGTGAACAGGAAATCCACTTCTTATTCTTCCCCCTGGTATAATCTCTCCCTGAGCTTCAGTAACTTGACACTCAACCCTGGTACCAACCAACCCCCTCTCGTGCAAGAATGGATCCAAGAAAGTGAGATGATGGAAGAAGCTTGGAAGCAGCAGAGTAAAAGAGCATTTCAGAGGCTTGTACACATAATGGGCCGAATGTCACTGAGCTCCTCATCCTCAGGTGAAGGAAGTGCAGAACAAATCATGTCCTGAGTGTCAACATCTCCAACACCCCATGAGAACCCTGATAGGACAGTGACAGCATCCAGCCAGATGGCAACATATCTCATCAGCTGACATTTCAATTCAATTTCAGAAATTTAGCAATCTTTTGCTAGTCATTTTAGAATCTTCCCTTCTTGGGCATGTTGGGAGTAATTTCTGGTTTGCAAGAGCGACCACAATTCCCATGGGGTGAGATGTTGTTTTCCTTCCTCAGCTTTCAGATTTCCCTCCAATAACTTATTGCCAATAAAGTGTACAGCATCTATCTACATAGTGTTTGCAGCTTGCTGTTTTTCAAGTGCTTTTATTTCCTTTTGATTACATTCCAGAAGCAGCATTGGGGATGTGTGTGGATTTCCCAAGGTAAAACCTTCATTACATGAAGCTGCAAACACAGAATATCCTTCAACTAGCACTACAACTGTAGTACAATATCAAAAGCAAGACCTGGACACAGGTATAATTGATATGTATAAGTCTCTGTCACTTCATCATTTGTATAGATTTGTGTGAACCCCCTGCAATGAAGTTGTAAGGCAGAACTGTCAAAAGATCTTTTTATTGCTACCTAAGTATAGTCACTGAGCCCATCCTTATGCTGGGAAACCACTGAATTGTTCTCCATTTCTACAATCATTTCATTTCAAACATGTCACCCAAAAAAGAATCACACATCATGATGACTTTTTGGCTTGGCCTGTTTCAATCTCCATACAATTCCTTGGGCCTATCCAAAGTCTATGCCTTAGAGATACAGCTCAGTATTAGAGCATTTACCTAGCATGTGGGAGGACCTGGGTTCAATCCTAAGCAACATACATAAAGCAAAAATGCTATCCTTTCTATTGCTGTGTGAAATTCCATGGTTAAGATACACCATTTTTCCTTATTCACCCGTTAAGAGTTTTGGTTTCTAGATTTTTTTAAACTGACACTGGATCTTGAACTCATGGCCTGAGTGCTGTCCCTTAGACTTTATTTCAAGGATGATACTCTGTCACTTGAGTCCCCAGCTCCACTTCTGGCTTTTTTGTTGGCTAAATGGAGAGATGAGTCTCATGATCTAGCAAATGGTGACTCTCAGATTTCAACCACCTAAATGAGGTTGGAATATTGATAGGCATCACATTGAATTTGTAGATAGCCTTTGGCAGTATTGCCATTTTCACGATGATAATCCTCCCAAACCAGGAGCATGGGAGGTTTTTCCACTTCCATAGTTCTGCTTTAATTTCCTTTTTCAGGTTTTTAAAGTTTTCATCATAGAGGTCCTTCACTTCTTTAGGTATTTCCTATGTATTTTATTATTTGTAGGACTATTACAAAAAGAATTGATTTCCTGATTCCAACTACACTCTTCTCATTATTGGAATACAGAAAAGCCATTGATTTTTAAATATATATTTTTTTATTGTAAAGATACTCTACAGAGGGGTTACAGTTACATGAGTAAAGTAATGAGTACATTTCATATGGAGCACTGTTACCCCCTCCTTTGTTTTTTCCCCTACCATCCCTTCCCTCCCCACCTCCCCAACACCTCTCTCCTTTGCCAAAGTTGTAAAGTTTGTATTCAACATAGTGTCTTGTGCATCTCATTGTTACAATGTGTCAACCTGTATCCTTGTTTCAGCATTTTGTTATTCATCTTCCCTTCCCCAAATTAGAAAATTTTATATACAGTATGCAGGGCACTGGAATCAAATACAGTGAAGACAGGGGTTATACCATGGGGGAAGAAATACAAAAGAAACAAAAGAATAACATAGTATATTAAAAACAACAGAGACAAAGATAAAACCTCTTGTGTTCCTATTTTGGGTTCATTTTGCTTAGCATCTTCTTGTATGGTCATATGCCCATAGCTTTTGACCTTTTCTGCGTGTCTGGTAAGATTATCCTAGACATATACTAGTTATTTCAAATAAGGGAAACCATGGGACCTATGTATGTATTTTTAGGTCTGAGAAAAGCCATTGATTTTTGATGGTTAATTTCATACCCTGCTATTTGCCAAAGTTTTAGATAAGCCCGAGTAACTTGGGAGTGGAGTCCATGGGGTTCTTTAAATACAAGATCATCTCAGCTGCAAAGAGGGAGAGTTTTACTTCATCTTTCCCTATTTGAATCCCCTTTATGTTTACTTCATGCCTTATTGCTCTAGCCAGGCATTCTAAAACTAAATTGAAGAGAAGTGGAGAGTGGACACCCTTGTCTCATTCCTGAATTTAGAGGAAATGGCTTTAGCTTTTCACCATTAAGTATAATGCTGGCTGTAGGTTTGTCATACGGATTCCTAGTTTCTCCACAGCTTTCATCATGAAGGGGTGTTGGATCTTCTCAAATGCTTTTTCTGTGTCTGTGGAGATAATCATGTGGGTCTTATCCTTGTTCTTGTTGATTTGATGAACACTATTTTAAGGCAAGAATCAACCCAGAGGCCTGTAGTTGCATAGAATTCTGACACTATCAGAATGAGTACAGATGCAATGTAGTTCAACAGCAGACATCTAGGGATCAATGGACTAAGAAAATCAAAGAAGTTGGGGGACCAGAAATTAATAGGTATAGGGAGAATTGTGAAGAGAAAATAAGATTAGAGAAAAGTAGGGAGGGAAAGGGAGAGAGGGAAGATAGCTAAGGACTAAATTTAGAGAGAGAGAAAAGAGAAAGAAAGGAGAAAAAAGATAATGAAAAAGGAAAACCGTAAAAGAAATAAAAAATGAAAAACTTTAAAAAATTATGTAAGTATAAAAATAATAAAATTAAAGGAACTAAGGTTGCGAAATTGCAAATTAAGTAAATGATGTCTGAATGAACAATGCACAAAATGAAGGATAAGGCCTAATATTCAAAGATGGGTACGTATCTGGGGATGAACAACAACAATTAAGTAAAGCAAAAATGAAAGAGGACCAAAAGGGAAAAGAGAAAAAAAAGAATAATAAAAAAGTAAAATAAAAATAATGAAAAAGTAGAAAAAAATTAAATTAAAATAAGTAGAATAAAGAATTCTAAGGATACAGGTGGACCCATTGCAACAATGAGATGTACAAGACATTATGTCAAAAAACGAACTTTACAACTTTGGCGGGGGAGGGGGGAGGGGGGAGGGAAGGGGGGGATGGGAGGGCAGGGATGGGAAGGGGAAACAAAAGAGGAGGCAACAATGCTTGATAAGAAATGCACTCATTACCTTGCTCATGTAATTGTAACCCTTCTGTACAGTATTTTCATAAAAACTTATTAATAAAAATAAATAAGTCTTTGATTTATTTTGGAGATCTTTGACTCCCCTGTGTTCATTACCAGTGTCTTGGTGGGGGTCTCTGATTTGCTTGTGGCGTTGGGTTTTCATATGTCTTAGTTGTTTTTTTAAGTCACTTTGTTTGAGCATATAGAATGAAGCTCTGCCTTACCAGGAAGGGTGACTTTATGACCTTCCTCCCAGTGTGGTTCAGTGGGCGGGCTGTGTGTGTCCCATAGGAGATAGCGGATTCCTCTACCTAGGAGTTGCTGTGAGGGAGCTTGTATGTGGGTGGGGTTGTGTACTGTCAGCACTCAGTAGCTTTTCCCTGAGGTGCTAGTTCCTGAGACATTCTTGTGGCCCAGCCTGGAGCCACACTCAGAATTTACGCTGTATCCAATTTTGAATTGTTTTACGTTTACCCTCCTGCAGCTGGAAGAGCTGCGGTGCTGTGGAGGGGTGAGGTCACCTCTGGCTCTGTTTACCCAGTGAAGAAAGTCACCACGCCATGGCCTGAACTTTCTCTGCCTGAGAAGGGCAACTTTTCTCTGGGTAGATCTGAACCCGGCTGGTCAGGTTCCTTTGACCTGCTGAAGAATGGATCCCAGTGTCAGTTTCTCAGGCTTGGGTTATGTGCTAGCTGCTCTGGCCTGGTCTTTGCCAGTATCAAAGCTGGCCTTCGTCTCAGGTGGTGGGGAAGGGGCTACCTTCCAAACGCTGCTTTGTGAGAAGGAGAGGGAATGTGAGTGAGGTACTCAAGCCTTTCCCTTGATTTCGGCCATCTTTGGTCTGCGTCCATCTGTGGTCAGCAGGATGAAGACTTCCGCTCCTCAGTTCGTACTGGCGGTGAGTAGAAGCCGCTCTCACTCCGACTCAAGTGCCTTTGTCCCAGGCTCTGTCTATTGATATGGCAGCAACGGCGGGCACTGCAGCCAGCTCCATCACTACCGGCGCTGCTGCCGCTGCTGCCACCACAACAAGTGCTCAGATCTGTGTCCTTAACCAAGCTGCCTGGATTTTTCCTCTCTGGACAAACTTTCTATACTATGATGGCACACTTGGTGTGACTCTCTAGCCTTGGATTTTTCACTGGGACACTAAAACTGGTTTCTTCCTGAGAGCTCGTTTAGCTTCCAGCTGCTCCTCTACCATATTCTTCCTATCTCACCCACTATTATTGTTCAAATCCTACTCATGCCCTTCCTTGCTATGGTTAAAAATTGGTGCTTGGTTAGAAATATTTAAGGCAAATAGCTATTTTGTGTGTGCTAGCATTAGGCCTTGAACTCAAGGGACTCATTCTTTCACTTGATTTTTCTTTTTGGTCAATCATGGGGTTTGAACTCTGGGTCTGGGTGCTGTCCCTGAGCTATTCGGCTCAAGGCGAGCGCTCTACCACTTGAGCCACAGCACCACTTCCAGTTTTCTGGTGGTAAATTGGAGATAAGCGTTTCACAGACTTTCCTGCCAGGACTGGCTTTGAACCTTGATCCTCAAATCTCAGCCTCCTGAGTAGCTAGGATTACAGTCCTGAGCCACCAGCACCCAGTTCTCTCACTTGATTTTTTTTCACTGAAGGCTGGTACTCTACCACTTGAATTGCACTTCACTTTGACTTTTTGTTGCTTAATTGGATAAAATAATCTCTTGGATTTGTCTGCCCACACTTGCTTCAAATCACAATACTCAAATCTCAGTCTCTCAAGTAACACTAAGATTAAAGGTGTGAGTTACCAGGGCC